AATTCTATTTTAATCAAGATTCGAGTCAATTTCTAGTACGAATTTAAACAGCTAGAATGGATTTAATTTTAGATTATCTGTATGATTGCATACTTAATAAATATTATTTCTAATATTATTGCTCATGTGTTAATCCTGTCGAGTTCTAAACTTATTGTGAGTTTCCAACACTGCAAGAAATACTAAACTACTAATTTTGAATTAAAATAGATAAATAGTAGGATTCGTCGTCATCCAATACGAAAACAGATCTAGCCTAGTAGTATTTTATATAAATTATGAAAAGAATAATGGAAAATCATCATCTCGAATCATGAAATAATGCAAGAAATTTTGATATTCAATTTCAAGGTTGAATTCTTCAAAATCTTGATGTAATCGACATATTCTTGCTAGGGTTCAATCTCCTCTCTCAAAATATGCGAACTGATCTCATGTTTTGATGATTTTTATTATTAGAATGTGTAATTAAAGGCTAGAGAGAGATCTCCAATGTTTTGTATTTATATGAGCCCCAAATAGGTCAAAAATCGCGAAAGTCAAAAATCGCGAAAAAATTTAGAGTATGTTTGATTACATTTATTTTTCATAGAAAATGTCAGTTTTCCACCTAAATTCCTGCTTTGAAGTGTTTGATTGCTATCATTTTCTATTGAAAATATTTTTGTTTTGAGGGAAAAACCTACTCCACCTAAAGAAAATGCTTTCCTTACGAACACAGAAAATTAGACATATTTTTAAAGGTTGGAAAATATTTTTCATGAAAAAAGATAGCAATCAAACACTTTAAAACACAAATTTGGGTGGAAAACTAACATTTTCCATGAAAAATAAATGCTATCAAACACACCTTTAAAACTAGAATTCACGTCCATCGGGAATTTGCAACGGAGGTGCCCACATTAAACTAAAGCGTGTATATCGACCTATTGGCCTGACCTACGTAGTATAGCATTGTGTAGTCATGGCAATGAGCCGAGTCGAGTCGAGACTTGAAACTTGGGCTCGGCTCGAGCCAAAAGGTTGAGCTTTTCTTAGCCCGAGCCAAACCGAGCCAAAAGAAACGAGGCTCGGCTCGAGCCGGCTCGATTTTTTTTTGTGCAGGCAGTTATAGCTGCGTCTATGCAAGCAGGCAGCTAAAATATCTGCTTGTACCTTTATTTAAAATTTTTAAAAAATGGTTAGCTCGTACTGGTCGAAACGGCCCGTGACAAGAGCCGGCTCATGTGGCTCGACGAGCCACACGGGCTGGCCCGAGCATCGGCTCGGTGGAACCAACCCTGAGCCGAGCCCAACTCGAGCTTTTTCCAGGCTGATCTAGCAACTTTTTTTTGTCATCCCTAACACTATGGCTCCCTATTAAATCTTAAAGAGTCGGCATACCTGCACCAGCTTTTCTACTGCATATACACCAGTGTGATCTTTTCAATTTTGTGTGTTTTGGTCCCAAATTTCTTCAAATGTGCAGTTTGAGTCCTAATTTGTTATGATTTGAATCCTTCACTTTTCAATTGCATTCACTTGAGTTAAAACATTCTCCAATTTTCTACATTAAGTCTGAATCCACTATTGGAGAGTGCAATTTAGTCCCAAACATTGTATTTTTCCTTTTCTGTTGCATGCTTCGTTCCTTGTGTAAATCACTCAAATTGCATCAAGTTTTACTTAAAAAGACTATTAACACATAATTAAGTCATAAGTCATCAAAACTAATTACAGTTAATCACATTTAACAGTTCAGATAAGTGTATTTTACATTTAATGATTCATATATGTGTATAAAATATACATATCACTATAAAAGTTATTTAATAAAGAATGTGACACAATGTTTGAGTAACATACCACAGCTAACATGATTTTTTTTAAATACACAAATAATCTTACAGTAAATCTTGACTAATTGTATGGGATAATTGGATTCTCATAGAAGCAATTTGTTAGCTTCGAGATGCGTGCTACATTTAATAAAAAATTGTTTTTTTTTTTGCTTTATTTTTCATTAGTGTAGAATGGACATTTCGGTGCCAAATTTGGCAATTTTTCCAATAGTTATCAACATTAGTGACTTTTTAATTGACAAGCATGAATTTGGACATTTTTGTAAATTTTCCATTTGAAATACATCTACAAACTCAAAAAGTTTACAGTGGACGATTGGGAGGCAGCATGTACTTCTGGAAGAATGCAACGAAAATCCTAAAAAAAACCTTAAAAATTAATAAAATTACCCAATAATTAACATGTTATTGGTACCTAAAGAGAAAAAACTACATAGGATAAAATAACAAAAAAATTACATGTCGAAAAGCCAACATTTTCTACAAAAAAAAAATCACAAAATCTTAGTAACAATGGAAATTCATGAAACCATCTTACCTGAGGATAGACCATTGAGAAATTAGTTCCTTGAATGGGTTGTTCACTGTGAAGGATGCTTGTGACAGAGATGTGTGTAATGGTTGTTCTCTTGCGGTGGAAGAGTTCGAAATGGGAGAATAATTACATATTGTAAGAATATGAATCATTCTTTAACATGAATTTCGGGTCAAAAAACATACTTGAAATGATGAATTATAAGATCTTTTTATGGTTGAATCACCTTGTATTTCAAAGCTTCAAAATCTACATTTGCTTGCTCTCCAATGGTCTCAATCCCGATCACAATGGAAGGGGATTATTATCCACAATCTAAGTGTCAAATTTTGTAAGATTTCATGCCAAAAATATGGTTTTAAGGACTTTTCAATTTAGGTGTAAAATTCTATACGAATTTTCACTTCATGTTTCATGTCCTCTTCTTCCCTTTATTTTCCAATCCATAATGAATGGGGGGTTTTGTGGGAGTTAATGGTGGTTGTAGGGAGTTGTGTTTGAATTTCAAATTCAAACTCCCTCCAACCCTTTTAATAATTTGTGGGTCAAATCATCCCACATGGGCGACCCACGACCCATATTTTTCTAACATCTCCCACTCGTACATGATGGGCTTGATCCGAACCATAAGGGACAACAAATGTCACACATTAGATCTTTCTCAAGATCTATCTCACAAAAATTCATACGACAAATAGATCGTACGACCAGGGAGTAATATTAGAGCTCACAGTACTATAAACCTGTTAGGGATATATAGTAGCTTTACTAGAGGAACATTACATCTCGCTATACCCCAAACTCAATTTCCAACATTAATTCAAGTATTTCTGATCCCTCGAATATTTATGGAACATACTTGAATCTCACATCATATCATTGTATTCACAATTGTGTTCTACCCTAAATGGTTAAACACAATTGTCCGGCCGGTGAATGCAAATATAAAGGTTGGTCAAAATAGTTTTCCTTTCCCACTTGAATCCTTCAACTTTAAATCAGCTGCTTTCCTAGACATGTCCCATCCAACCGAATCAATCATAGTTATTGGTAACATGCTAAAGTAACACCGAAGAAAAATCTCGAGAAACAGTTAAAAGTCATAAGGGTATATATAAGGTTATAAAAACCTCAAGGTCTCACACAATGAGGAAGTAGGGATCCATTCACTCATTTACCCATTATTGGTCATAAAAGCACACGTGGTATGAAACATACGCAACGATGTTTTTTCCCATTCTTAGGGCGTATGTCATATCCTTTATAAACAAATAACACCATACAGATCCTAATTCAGGTATTCCCGATACCTAACTTGAGTTCTCCTTATGTTCATTCCTCCAGGCAATCTCAAATTGAGAACTCGATCTGGCTACTAAACAGGTTTAATGGATAACAAAATCCATTTCGATTACTTGTTGTAATCTCATCTTGATATCTTATCAAGGCAACCGGATCACGTATACAACATGATCACTTTGTCTCATTTCAACACATCTCAAAGTATCTGAGGCAATTGTTCGTGTGAGTGAACCAATCTCAACCTGTTTGACATACTTTATATGTGCATGCAAAATACTGTCTCGTAATCCCAACAATAGATTACACATGAACTCAAAATTGTTCATCTATGGGCACATAAAACTCATTCTAGAGTTTCTGATACACTAAGTATCATATTCGACGTAATTTTAGAGATTCGACATTATCGACAAGTACATCTCTAAAAATCTTTAGAGTGTGATGATTACAAACCATCATTTACGTAAATATATTGCAAAGACACTTTCTTTGCTAATGTATCTCACAGAAACACTATCGAGTGTTTAGTTCCATCATGATATTTTGAGATCCTCATCACATGAGATAATTTGCATAACTATCATGGATCTCATATTCACAGCTAATATCATTAGATGCCCAATACATCTATACCAAACAATTTCTTTAGTTGTCAAGTTATATGGTACAAGATATGCTTCTTGCTACTATATGTAGTAACAATGTTCTAAAATGTGTAATGCGTTGCGATGCGTCGACGTCGAGAATCAAGAATCACAAGTTTAGGCGTGTCAATGCAAAGAAAAAGCGTCATAATGCGTTTCGTATTTTTAATATTATTTTAATTATTTTTAACACAATAAATAGATTTTTTTATAAAAAAATAGATTTTTTTTTAATCCAAGAACTGAGATAAAAACAAACATATGATGTCACCAAATTTCAAAACCTAAAGGCCAGCATAACGACTCAAAATGCAGAAATTCCAAGGGACAAAAAAAGATGAATGGTTAATGCAATGCTCATCAAACTTATAAGTACAGCCTGCCAAAATATATGCACCAGTTTACAGAATTGTGAGCACTGACTGGGTATATTAAAGGGAAGGAATCAAACTAACAAATACCAAGGCCACAAAACAGACCAGTTGATATTGCAAAAGATATTAAACACGTAGCTGCAGAAAAAGATGGATATACTTCATATTAAACAAGTCAGGATCCTCATTGGCAGAATCTTTACTCACCATCCATTCACACCATATTTTCCGAATTTCATTAGAAACCTTATCCTCGCTCATTCTAGCAGATATTCGTCCAACACCTATCTGCCTCACAACCAAATCAGATACATCTTCTTTCTGAACCATTTCCATTCATATGCTGGTCATGGAAGCTGTCATCACAACCCATATCATCCTCAACTACTCGTGAAATACCATTCGGCCCCAAGTTCTCATCAAAACTAACAATAGCAAGGCTATCTTGTTCTGATGATCTCTTGCAAAATCCCAAGCTTCGCGATCTCGAGCCCATCATCCTCAACCCCACTCGACCCTCTCCTATCAACCCCATTTCATCAGCATCCAAATTAATCAAATTTTGCCATTTCAACCATAGCATTAACAACCTATAGATTTCAATAATACTTCATGAACTCCATCCCAAATCCACAATGTACTCAACAAAAATTGTCTTTAGAATATTATTAATTGCGTTGCAAAGTAACAAAAAAATTCAACCTATACAATTCATCCAAATTCAACCCATACCGCGAAAATACCAAATATTGAACAGAATCCAATAATCAATTTCCAGTATAATGCAAATCCCAATTTCCTGTACCCCAATGGACTCCAGTAAACAGATAATTGAATACACCCGCTCCAATTCCACTGATTAAACACAACTATAAGCAAAACCCAGATAATCAAAATAATGTTTACATGAAAACCCACTATCAAAATCGCCCAATTAACTGGTAAACAGTATAAGATCAGACCTTTGTATATCAAACATTGTTGTTCAGCCGGCACATCACAACTCTGAGCCAGCACAGCCTTGAATTCCTGCACCGTTGACTCAAGCCTCGTCCGCATAGAGAATTTAGAGCCATTTGAGCAGCGAATGTTGACATTCACCTCATCACCACCACTAACGATCAAGCTCGATTCACCCTGGCGGTCCGGCGGAGCCTCCTGGGTCCGTTTCTGTTCCCACCGTTGAGAAAGAAGCTTTAGATTCCTTCCCAAAGCCCTTGACAATGGCCCATATTGCTGTTCCAACCCTTCCCCTACGGCAGCGCCCATCCCCGCCACCTCTACAGACAGAAAACCAAGAGGAGAGAACTGGATCTTTAGAGGAAAACTTGAGAGAAAACCTTACCTTTGAAAGCAAAGGAGGGACGCAGCTATAGGTTAAAAAATCTATCCCACATCGGACGTAGACTTAATCAGTGGGAGAATAATCCTTTATAAAAAGTGCACCACTCAACGTCTCAACCCATGAATTGGGCTTGTCGTTGGACGAGCCCATTAGTAGAGTTGTTGAAAGGTTTATTTTTTAAAGTTGCTTGACGTTTTGGGCCTGCTAAGGCGTTCCTAGACGGTCAACGAAAAAAATTGACCGCGTTATTACACGCATGTCTCCAATGCGATGCGTTTCCGAAACGCTTTGCGCCTAGGCGCGCG